CTGAGGCCAGGCTGGGAGAGTTGGGGGTGTTCAGTCTGGAGAAGAGAAGGCTGCGGGCAGAGCTGAGTGCGGCCGCTCAGGGCTTCAAGGGGGCCCAGAGGAAAGGGGGGGACAAGCTTTTTAGTAGGGCCAGCTGGGACAGGACAAGGGGGGATGGCTTGAAACTAAACCAAGGGTAGGTTTAGACTGGATCTAAGGAAGAAATTCTTTGCAGTGAGGGTGGTGAAACCCTGTCAGGGGTTGCCCAGAGAGGGGGTGGAGGCCCCATCCCTGGGACCATTCCAGGCCAGGTTGGCCGGGGCTGTGAGCAACCTGATGTGGTTCAAGGTGTCCCTGCTCCTGCAGGGGGGTTGGGCTGGGTAACCTCTGGGGGTCCCTTCCCACCCAAAACATTCTAGGATTCTATGATTCAAATGCATTGTGTTGCAGGGGGATTCCCAACCACCTGCCCCTTCTTTAGGAGCTGTTTGCAGCCTCTTTTGCTTTCTCTTCAAGTGCAATTGCACAGCCCGGAGACGAGATGCTTTCTTGGGAATCTTGCTGGTAGGTTCAGCTTCCAGCACAAACTCTTACAGTATCACACTCTGCGGAGAAATTATATGTCATTTCTGGTATTCTCTCGATTTTGCTTGTTTTATTTTAGGAGAAGTTCCCAGATAAGATCAGTGAACTCCGTGTGCTGAAGCGTGAGGGTGGAATGAGTGAGCGGAAGAGAGAGTCTCGCGTCACTTGATGTCTGTATGCATAAACCTAACTAAAGCAAATATCAGGGAAAAGGAAATAGTCGGTGTTTACTTATTCCAGTTACTCATGCTTTTGTATTTCTTTTAATCCCTTCCAGGCCCACTTCTGTTAGGTCCAAGGATATCTAGAAGCTACTCGTTCAGGACTGTGTACTTGAGTAGCCTTTAAATTGCAATTTTTTGCCTTTTAATTCTGGTTTTTTTCCCATGAAGATTTCGAGCTCAGGTAGATCGCAGTGTTAAATGGGCAAGTCTGAAATGCCATCTATGTTTTTCTCTCTGCGTTTAGACCCAGATCAGCCAAAGTGTCTTGCATCTCCACAGGGGGAAATACCTTTCCGTAAGGCTCAGGTTGGCATCCGAACCTTGCAGCAGCTGCTGCTGCCGAGAGCTGGGACCCTTCTCTCTGCCAGACACGTTCCACTTCTGCTTTTTGTTCACCGTACTCCCCAGCAATTTTTTTTGTGCAAGGGTTTACCAATCTGTGGCATTTCTCTCCTGCGTCAGCAGCCCCTTGCAAAAAATTCAGCATTGGGGAACCAACAATAGGAGCTTATGCTTGCAACTGTCCGACTCCTAATCTTCAGGGCTGGACAGTAATGACTGATGGGGGTTATTTGACTGAAGGGGATATTCGGGAGGGAGAAACGTAATTTCTCTGACCAGCCTTATTACTTCAGAAAGGACCTTGCTGAGTTGTCACCACCGTCTTCCCCATCTTACCCAATTAACAGAGAGGAACAAATCGTTCCATGAACAAACGAAACTCAGTTTTGCTAGATTTATATGCTACGCTCCTTCCTCTCACTCTTCAATGCTCTCATTTTCCCTGTGACCTTCCTGTTCCTTTGAAACTTTCGTTTCCCCGAATTGCCATCCAGTTCTCCCAACCACCTGCCAACAATGGGATGGGGAAGAGGCGGCAAGTAATAGCTGAGCTCACCGCATGGTCATTCCTCTAATGTCAACGCCGATTCCTGATACACATCAGCCCATTTTTATAAAACCTGTGGGAACGTCATGCATCTGCTAAAATTCTGTCTTCGGCCTTGTTTTCCCATTCCTGCATCCTACTAATGCTAAACACAACTCGATACTGGGGGATACTGTGCCAAAAGTGCAGGTCTAATGTCTGCACAGTTCAGCTAATTTCATGAAGGAAAGAAACAGCGCAAAGGCTGTAATTACAGGCTGACAAATAGAGCTGATATATGCCCTAGTGAAAAGAGACGTCAATAACGCTGCCTAAGCCAGGCTTGGGGTCCGGTGAGTGAACACAGGGCTGGTGCATACCTTCCTCTACCCATGGGGAGTTCAAGTTCAGATTAGAGATTAAGCCTTTATCCAGTTCTGACCCGGTGCCAGGCCAGGGGCGCCCACCCCAAATGCAGGACCAGCACCTGCAGAGGTTGGTAAGGCTCCTGTTTAGACCGCTCTAACGGTCCTTACCCGCTTTAAAGGCCTGGCACAATTTACGTGCTTCAGCTTGCTCTCGCTTGTGGGCCCTCTGGTCTACCGGAGAGAAAATAAACACGCCTCGGGATGGCGGAGAGTTGGTACGGGATGGAATCTGAGGTGTATTTCTGGTCACCGAGAACCGGCGTGGGGACGGGCGGCCTCT